CAAAGGAGCTAGCACCCTCCCGTTTGCCCTGCCGATTCGGATTCGGTCCTAGAGCCTGGACAGGCTGGGCTGGTGGATGGTATGTGGTCAAAGAGGGAAGGGAGTCAGATGGAGGGGGGAGGGTTGTGGATATAAGCTGGGTGGGATAGGAAGAGAGAGGGGGTATCGGGCAGAGTAGCCCCTGAGGATGACCAGGAAGTGTAGGAGGGGTGTCTGAGTTCCCTGTCCCGGGCTGCTGCCGCGGTCAGAAACTCACTCACCCCAGTGATGTCTCTCCTGGTGCGTGGACCGGATCCCCTTGCTGCTTGTGTGGCTTGTAAACAAAGGACCTACCTCTTTGCTTGCTTTCTTGTTCTTTTTTTCTTTTGTGTGGGGCACTAAAGTGGTGAGGGAAAGATATGAGGTATCCGGAGGTGAGTGGGATTGGGGTGCATGCTGTAAAACTCCCAAAGAATCAATAAAGAAGTTAAATTTAAAATAAAGCTAGCCCACACATCTTCATGCCACAGAAACTTTAAGAAAAATTTAAAATGGAAGGCTAGTTCTGGAGAGGGACAATTTAAAGTGTAGTCAAGTTTTCTGGAGTTTGGAAAGTAAGGGCACAGGTTGATCCTATGGTGAAATCTGGAACAACTCAGTCCACAAATTTTTTATCACATGTGAAAAAAGAATAAGTAAGAAAGTAGGAAGGGACAATAAAGTTCTTTCTTTGCAGCAACCTCTGCATGTATGGAATAACTATTTTTAAATCTCCCTTAATTTCTGTAGGGCAACAGAGTGTGTGCAGCTGGCTATGGCTATGTTTTCTACCTTGTGACCAGGCAAACCTCACAAGCTCCGCTCCTTTCGTTCACGTTGAACACTGCTCACTCTTGTACCAGGTAATGCTGGTTAAATTCATTTATATATAAGTGGGGTGCTTATGATTTCATGATTGGTTTTATGGACAAAGGGTGAAGGCTTCCTGAAATTTGATTTGAGATGTGGCAATGATACATGCTGTGGGAACACATTCCACTTCTTCAGCCAATAGCATTTAAGATACCAGCCCACTTGGGCATGGTCTCTTATACTGTAAATGTAGCTATAAAGCACACACTCCTTCTCTTTGTTACCCCTAGAATATGAGATAAAGAATATATGGACAAGAGCAAGCTATGGTAGAATATGAAAGTACAGAAGAACAAAACGTGATATAAGTAAGTGCTAGGGTTTACTCTACTAAAAGGAGTAGTTATAAGGGCTGATAGAATATCAGGAAACATGGCTATCTATTTATGGTTAAATGGCAGAAGCAAGTCACAGGGTACAAAAAGAAAAGATTGAGAAATTAGCAGAGTCCATCAGAGAGGAGGGTTCCAGGTTTTGCTTGTGTCCATGCTCCCAAATTTCATTATTTTTATATTTAACGAAGCATAAAAATCAAGACTACAGGAGACAATCAAAGAACTTGCTCTGAATAATCCAACTTTAAACTAGACAATAGAACTAAGATGACACTTCTAAAAAGAACATATAGAAGTGATGAGCTAGTATATTAAAATACTTAAGACTGATGATCAACAAGAAACTGAAAATTAAAACCATGAAGAGTTATAAGTTCACACCTGTTAGGATGAATATATTCAGAATGATGAATTATGGTATTGGCATGGATTTGGGTAAAGGAAATCAAACTTATAAATTACTAATGGGGATGTTAGTATTACTGTTATACACACATAGAAGATCCCCTAAAAATTAAAAATATAAGTATCATTTGATCCATTAATTCTATTACCAGATACACACACACACATCTTACACACACACCTGTAAAGATGTTCATGACAATATGTCTTCTTTTAAAAATGAATAAAACTTCCTTTAATCCCACTGGGGAAATATTGAATTTATTTTTATTCTTTGCCTTTCTTTCTAGGTATGGCCTTCTTATATATCCTCAATTTCAACCACTTTGGAATAATGACACAGGCTTCACTCTCTTCCAAGATTTCATTGTTTGGGGAAGTGCAGGTGGTGCCAAGGTATGATTTTTAGCTTATACATACATGCATGCATATACATACATACATACATACATACATACATACATACATACATATATACATACACAGTCTTTGTTTTCTAGAGGCAGACTGTTACATCACTCTATCCAAGGCATTTTAGTTTGATGAGAATGAGAACACTGTGATGTTATCACATCTAGTATCAATGGTATCATAGGTGTGTGTGTGTGTGTATGGTGCTGAATGCACAAATCCTACATCAGAGGTCATTTTATATATGGGTTCTCAAAACTGTAAGGCAACAGGGCTTTTAAATGACATTTACAATCAGGAGATGACAATTGTACAGGTTCATCTACCCATACTTCCCTTTCAGTTCCTACTTATGACTAATAACTGAAGAACCCAAAAGTAATGGAATTGTCAAATGTCACACAACCAGGAACACAACCAACTGCAGAGTAAAGACACAAATATGTGTTTGTTAGTGTAATCTCCTGAATAATGAATGCTTCAGTGTTAAGAAAAACATGGTTCCTCAAAGGAAATAGGTTCAGCTCTAGCTGTCATTTACTTTAACCAATGTGTTTTAATTTCTATTTTTTTTCCCTCAAAAGAAAACAATAGATTCGTGCTTACTTATTTAGTTTGTATTGCCACTGTGACTTTTAAAAGGGAAATTTTGTTTTCTGTCAGTTAGGAACAAAATTACCTAGGGTCACCAGTACTACAAAGAGACAACTGCATTGAATTCATTTCTGCAATTTAGAGCTGTGCAGTCTAGGATACATAGATGAGGAAATATGTTTTTAAAGCCTTTAGGGACGAGAACAAAAGCAAAATCATAGTAAAAGACAAATATTTACTCAAGTTCCTAATAAAAGGAAGAAAACTTTGCATGAAGAAAGCCTAAAATATACAATTAGGATAACTAGCAAGGAGATCCCTAATATGTTGAACATTTTATTTTAGGTTTTTTAGGTGTTTTTTTTTTTTGCGTGTGGGGAAATGTTTTCTCATGTCTCATAGATAAGAATTATTTATTTGAACCAAATATTTCTTCATTTTCTAGGTATAATAATAGTTTAAAAGCATTATTTTCACCATGTTTCAGATGGTATTTCTTCTATAATGAAGAGAAATGATAGCACACTGTGAAAACCGTACCGGCACCTTTAATTTACGCTTAGCTACTGTATAATTTAAAACTCAAGATTTGCTAACTAAGGCTTGGTTATTGTTTTTAAATATATTTGCAAATGAGTTATTTGTGGGTGCCTGTAATTAGGTAGTAGCTATGCAGTTACCAGCTCAGGTCTTACCTGGTTTGCACTCATAGCCCGTCTCCAAAGAAGTGTCATTTTATAAAATGTTTGCATGCGGACATTTTAGGCCATGGATGTGCAAAATCTGAATGACATGTGAAAGCGTGCTACATCATATGTGAAGGATACCTAGGCCTCAGCAGGACACTTTCAGTTCAAGTATGAATGCAAATATGATATGATTTAAAGAACAAGGCACGGCCATTAGGTTAGCTGTTGGTCCTCACCTTAAAGATGGGGAACCTCAGGCCTAGGGAAGTTAAAAATCATTTTGCCCAAGAGCACTTGATACTAGGAGACCAAGGTGAATAGCAAGAACCCCATTTGCCAGATTAATGGGATTCTTTTCAGCCCTACTAAACTTTGCTACTCCTTCATGCCTTTGTAGAGGTGTTAGTCCCAATACTCATATGTACGTATGCATATGTTAAATCCACACACAAACTTACTGATTTTTGTATTTGCAAAATCTGACTAGCACTGCTAATGCCTTGCTAAAATGCTAAGCACTGAAGATTTTTGTAATGCGACACTTTTATTAATTAATTTTGCACATTTGGGGACTATAAAATTGTTTTAAATATGTGGACAATTCACATCAACCTCTTAATGTATTGCCTGACAGAGGAAAACTGTAATTTCCAGGGGGATTTGTTAGCAACGTTGAGATGTCTGTACTGATCTTGGTAGGCAAAACCTGCTTAAATATGCCAGTGTGCTTATTTACTTATTTATACTTAATCAATAATTAAAGAGTTCTTGTAGTCTGAGAAAAAATAATCCTTAGACCTTTAGCATAATGTAGGCTGTTACTTTATAGATTTTCAGAAGCAGCAATCTGCACCTGAAAAACTTCCAGGTTTATGCATGCAGAGACAGCGGAATCGACATCTTGGAAAGCGATGCGGACACCGTGGTTATGGACAGCTTTTTACTTGGTCATTTCACACACCAGGTGGGTGCTCTACTGTGGCTCTTGTGGGTTGTCCATCAAGACTGAATCATGGAGACTGGGCTCCCTGATGATCTAATACATAATTATAATAGAATTTTTAGTGAAAAAAAAGGTTAAAAGGAGCATTTTATTTGTAATAGTGATGATGTTCATAATAAGATGCAAATACTTAGAGATGGAGTATCGAGTCTATACAAACCAGAAGTTATTAACAGTCTGAAGAATTTTTATTTGAGTTAAAGGTAGGTCTTTTGATGTATGCAAATTCAATACTAAAAACCTAATAGTTTGAGTGTCATGGCTCACGCCTGTTATCCAAGCAGTTTGGAGGCTGAGGCAGGGGATTTGACATAATTTCCAAGTAAGGTTGATGTACAAAATGAAAGTCTGTCTCAAAAACCAAATCAAATGAGCAATTCCTCCCCATGTTGACTTAGTTTAATTTTCTAGAATCTGTCAAAGATTGTGAATAGCACAAAGCTACACTGTCCCCATGCTGTGGTTTTCTACACTTTGTGGTCACATTTTTGTTAACAGGGTCATTTCTCCATTTAGCCTGCCACCCCAAAGAGCATGGATGAGGCTACCCAGGTTTATACAAATTATTATTATGTGAATAGGTTTTGTTGGGTGAGTCATCTATTCACCTCTCTGGAACTTAGGAGTATGGTGGCTGTTTGGGTGGCTTCTGAGTCCCTGCCAGGTATGGACATTGGGGAGTTAGGGGTCCCAGATGGAATGTGTTCTAGGTATTGGGAGCTGACCAAAAGGAATGAGGATGGGGTAGAAGGGGAAGGGTGGGGTTGAGAGGGTCCACGTGGGGAGGAAAGCTGAGTGTGCCTTGAGGAACTGTGAACTGCCCCACCCATCCAAGGAAATGGGAGAAGAGAAGGAAGATGGGACTCTGAAGATGGTGTGCTACAGGACGGGGGATGACACTGGGGAATTGGAATTGGGAGACAAGAGGAAGAATGAAGATTGTCTACCTGATTTACTGACCAACATGCCCAATGGGCTTCAAGGAAAATGCCTCCAGTATTGGAGACTGAGACAAAGGAATGTGTGTGATAAGATTTTGGATGTGACTCATTGTCCTTCAAAAAATACTGTTTCTGTATTATAAAAATCAGATTATAGATGGTTTGTCCTGCATTACATAGTCCAAGGAAGCACATGAGTTCATTTTACATTGTTGTGACCAACATACATGACACGAACAACTGAGGAAGGAAAGATTTATTTTGCCTCAGAGTTGCGTGGACTTGAGTCCTTCATGGTAGGGAAGGGGAGGTGGCTGGAAATTCTAATAGCTATGAGGAATAACATCACAGCCGATAAGGAAGCAGAGCATATGGTAGGAATCAGGGCTTGGGTAGATCGTGTTCTTCCACCAATGGCTGACTTTTGCCAAGCCATCTCCACCTTCTCGTGGTTTCATAGCCTCTGTAAATGATGGCTCTCGCTATAGAACCAGTATCAGATATCAAGCCTGTGGTGGACACTTCATAGTCAAGAGATGGCAATCCTAGTGTAGTCAAAAGCTGCTTCCCAGATTAACAGGATCTTTTCCTCTTAAGGAAGTTCCCGAATGCTCTCAGGGCCTCTTAGGCTCTAGGCCTTCAGTAATTTCCTTTGTCCTTGTTTCTAAAAGAGTCACGTGGATATAAGCAATGAACATTTATATTACTTACTTTTCTTGTGACTGTGGCAAATGCCTGATTGGGTCTGTTTCAGCTAACATTTTGAGGGTATGGTTATCAGGATGGAAGTCACTGAGACAGGAGCACAAGGCAACTGCTTATGTCACATCCACGTTGAGAAGGAGGGTGTGATGAACAAACACTTGTCCTCAGCCAGCTTTCTCTTTTATATCGCAGTCCTGGATGCTATCCCCTATTCAGGGTGGGGTTTTCCAGCTCAGGTGACCTAATCTAACCAAGATCTACCAGACATGCCCAGAGCCACGTCTCCTATGTGATTGTAGATCCTGCCAACCTGAGAACAATGAACCTACACACACTGTTAACAATTTGAAGCTAGAAGATGGCTTGTAGAATTCTAGGGATCCATGGCAATCATTTTGCTTCAGTATGTTCCCAAATGTATTGGTAGGAATTTATATAGTAATTGGCTCTTGTGCTTACATAGATTATTCATAGATATATGATAAATTAAGATTTGAAAAAAATTATTCAAATTATTAGACTTTCCTATATTTAGATTTCAACTTTTGAGTTCACTCTTTGAACTATCTATTTTCTTGCAGTTTTTCCTTTTCTTGAGAAAGTTGCTGATTTAGAGATGACTCATCTCTCTAGCCTGTGTTGCTTCCAGAAGGGATGTTGCATGGTCAACAGACCTTAAGTTCAGTCATGACTTCAGAGAATATGCTAAAGCAAGATTCCCATCAAACTGAGTAACTGTCCTGGTGAATTAATGTTTTAGTCTCTTAATTACTATTAACTAGACATCATAATTAGTGGAAGAGTACCATAAGTTAAGATGTAAATTATGGCCAAATAATGAGATAATAAAATACAATCACACGCCCCTGAGGTTATTCACTAGAAAGGCAGTTGATGGCCATTGAGACTCTCAGCAAATGCAGGCCAAGAGATTACTGATAAAAACTCCTGAACACGTTTGATCTAGAGGATTCTAGATAAAGGTCAGTCACCCGAACAATAAAAGCATTCAATTTTATATCCTACTGTTACTTAAATGATGATATTGTTTACACTGAATTAGCAAGTAAGATAAAATGGAGAGATCCATTGTCTGTACAAAGGGTAGCTCCATATTCGTGCTGAATGCTAGATAGGGCAGCCTTGCTGCTCTTCCGTGTGTGATCAAATGCTATTGATTGTATAAGGAAGGCGCTTCAGTGGGAAACATTTATTAATAGGTATGCCATTTCCTCTGAAGTATTCTCTATGAAAATCTTGTTCTAGGGGAGTGTCCTATAAAGGAGATTCTTTGCTTAATTTCATTTACCCGATGCTGATACTGTAAACCCTTTTGGGTCTGCAATCTCAAATAAATGCACTGTGCCCAATGCACTGTGAAGATTACAGTTAGTCAGATTGGGCTGTATTAGCAGTTTCTGTTCAATAGATAAATCTTAGCTGCTCTTCTCAACAAACAAACAAATGTGTGGGAAGACAGATATGTTAATTGTCCTCATTACAATAACTATTTTACTCTCTACCTAGATACCAGGATCCTGTAATTCTTAAATATACACAATCAAGTAAACATTCAAAAAAGTATTGAAGAGTCTGAAAAACCCCATGATCTACACAACAAGAGAAATGACAGTCTTTAATTAATGAATTTTAAAGTTTATATTATTGGCAGGCATCTTTTTTATTTTTTATTCCATATAAGGAGGGTGTTAGACTGACTATGGAGTAAGATTTCCACCTCTGTCTTCCAAGCTTGCCTGGGTTTGTAGAATGAAAGATTTCAGAGAATTTGGCCTTCTCACTCACATTTGATTGTTAGCATTCAATTATAAGATAATCATATCCTCCAACAGACACTAGTTATGGTTTTTCTGAGTAGAGGAAAATAAACATGTTCGTGTCTGTGTTGGTATTCTCACCCATGTGTTCATGTGCATAGAATACTTTTAATATTCAGGAAAAATGCTTGATGCATGTCACATCTTCGTTTGGTTTGGCAGTTTTTTGAGGCTAGATGCTTAACATCCTGTTTAATCGTCATCCCCTTTCATTTATAGAAACACCCCGGTTTGGATTTAAATTTTGGTCTCCTTATGTTTCTGAGTATCTTCAGGCTGGCTGTCTTTGTGTTGCTATTGGAAATAATTTGGTATTTGTTTAAAGTGGCCAGACAGTTTTGCAGATGGGATAATGACATTATAGTTACACCAGACTTGTGTTTAAATGATGCACATTTATGTGTATAGGTGTGGTATAATGTATGTCTGTAAATACATTCCATGTGATTTACCAGAAAAAAGTAGGTGATAAGAATAAGATGCCATAGTGTAAATACTTGAATCTAGATCATTGTTAATCATAAAATTCTCTATACTTTCAACTTCTTCACTCATTTGAAAATATTTATAAAATGTGAATTAAAATATTCAGCAGGTGTTGGTGGAGCTGTTTCATTCTTCGTTCATTTTCTCGAGGGGTTATTTCTCATTTTCATTGGGGATTTGTCTACCCCAGTTTAGACCTTTCATCTTTTTCATGTCTCTGAATTCTGTTGCAGGGCCCCTCTTTTCTCAATACGCTCGCTCCCGCTGGGAGAAATCTCATTTTCTCTCACGGTTTCAATTACCATCCGTGCTGATGTCTCCCACGTATTTGCATTTTCTACTGTCTTGTTTTGTGCTTTCAGTTTTAATCATTATTTTTGTTTTCATTTCCCCCATTTTTCTAACTTGATTTGTATTGTCCTGTGTTGCATCTTTTCAAAGATATTTTTCTCATTTCTCACATACTCATTATGCTTTGACATTCTAGCTATTGGGATTAAATTTTTAACATGCCTGCTGGTTGTGATGATGTTATAATTACATTAACGATGCTAAACTATACCTCAGCAATTCCAGACTTCAATTTTTTAACTTCAATCTTTTTTCTTCTTTTCTTATTGCTCAAGATCTTTAGTCATGCATATAACAGGGTACGATCAAGACCACTCCTCCATTCCTTCCACTCCGTCTTCTCCTTTATCTGCCCCACTATTTACTCTCATCGTCATGTAATTTTTCTAAAAGATAATCCACTGAGTCCACTTAGAGATACCTGCAAGTGAAGGACATAGGACCATCCTCTGGATCATGGGTAGCTTCTCAGGGGCTACAGCCCTGAAGGAAACTCTCTCCCCTTTCCGGCAATCCTCAGTGGCCAGAAGCTTCTCAGCTAGGGATGAGGCTTTGTTTACCTTCTTTCTTTACTTATCCTTTTATCCTCTGCTTCTTTTACGCCCTATTGGTTCTACCTTTGAAAGTAAATTTTATATGAAAATATTTACAGAGAAAAGCACACAATGTATTTTGTCAGTGAAGTTTTAATTAAAGTAGAATTGCATCAGCTTCCCCTTTCCTTTTCTCCCTCCAATCCCTCCTATATACCCTCCAGCTCTCAAATTGATAGTCTCTTTTCCCTGATTGGACACAGGCTACTCACAATTGCTGGAGAAAGAAGAATTAGCCTCTCCCAGGGATGAGCCCCCTTATTGGTTATCCAGTACATAGTGGTCAGTCCTGAAACCAAATACACAAAACTAGCAAAAGAGAGAGAGAGAGAGAGAGAGGGAGAGAGAGAGAGAGAGAGAGAGAGGTTCAGCAGATTGTACTCATCTATTTGTGTGTGCATGTATGTGCACACACACACACGCATATACACACACACACTCACACACATATGTCTGTATATAACAATAATGATCACAATGTGTTTTTCTTAATAAAGCAAATCAACCATATACCACCCTGATAAGAAACACTACCCATTTCCCTTGTACTGGCTTCCCTTTCCCCCAGATTTAAACACAAGTATCCTCAGCTAAAGGGGAACCATGATTCAGACTCCTGGTGATATGAATTGATTTTTTTCCTCCTCATTATTCGATATAACACAGTCACAGAGCACATTATTGTTCCTGGGTTTCTTTGGCACAATAATATGTCCATGAGCTTTGTCTGTCTTTTCGTGCTGTAGTAATTTACTCCAGTCATTGTGTATTATTCCATTTTCTGACTGTACCAAATATTTTCTCATGATCAAATTCTGTTTATTGAATTTCCAACAGGAATTGTTGGTATTTGACAGTTTCTAACCATTTTCTACCTTGTTTTCCTCATTTGAAAAAATCTGTATAGACTCTTGGAGTTTTAAAACTTATACTCTGAGCTCATGTAATTCATCTTACTCCTTCTGTGAGAAAAACTCAGGTTTAAAGTGCTCTTCCTCTGAGCCATTCACCAAAGAAGCAGATGCTTTTCAAGAGCTAGTCCTTTTATTCAGAGCTCTAGGGCCTTCCAGTGTGTCTGCTTCCCTGTCCTCTGCAGTGGTCTGGTGTCTGGTAACAGGGACGTCCAGTGTGTGTGCTTCCCTGTCCTCTGCAGTGGTCAGGTGTCTGGTAACAGATCACCCACTTTGACTGTCCTTTCAGACATTTCCCCACCACGCATTTTCCTTTAAAAATTAATTGTTTAAGCTAAAGTACAAAGCAGCATTTTGTCATGATATCTGTGTAGATACATCAGCACACTTTGTTCTTACTCATCTGTCTTCTCACTCCCCGTTACCTATCCTCTTTTGCTATCACACCCCATGTTTCTTATTGCTTTCAACTTCCTTCCATTCCCATTTTCCTATCTTTTCATGCCGTCATTTCTTTAAGATTTCTTCATCCCTGATCCTTAATACAACTCCCCAGCTTGGTCAATCAACAGTTTTCTATTCCTATATCGTCCATGCCCAGGATGGGTTGATAATTCACCTGGTGCAGGCAGTGTGTTCACACCCACGAACCGGTAGACAGTCACTTCTGTCTGGAGAACTGGAGAACTTTTGCTTGCTTCTTGCCCCCTTCGTTAGTACTGTCTCTTTATACATTTGTGATGTTTTCAACACTTACTTTATTAGGAGTAGAATCATATTAATTACACTGTTTTCATTTTCCTTGGACTTGTATACTAACTTTACTTACATCAAGATATTTATTTATTTATTTATTTATTTATTTATTTATTTATTTATGATTTCTGTCTCTTCCCCCCAGCCGCCTCCCCTTTCCCTCCCCCTCCCCCAGTCAAGTCCCCCTCCCTCGTCAGCCCAAAGAGCAATCAGGGTTCCCTGCCCTGTGGGAAGTCCAAGGACCACCCACCTCCATCCAGGTCTAGTAAGGTGAGCATCCAAACTGCCTAGGCTCCCACAAAACCAAAAGGTGCAGTAGGATCAAAAACCCATTGCCACTGTTCTTGAGGTCTCAGTAGTCCTCATTGTCCGCTATGTTCAGCAAAACTGGTTTTAACCCAGGCCAGCTGGCCTTGGTGAGTTCCTGATAGAACATCCCCATTGTCTCAGTGTGTGGGTGCACCCCTTGCGGTCCTGAGTTCCAAGATTTTATTTATTTCCCTTGTTTGTTTATATTCGTTGCCATTTTTTTCCTATTGCAGATTTTTAAAAAAGAAATGGTTCTCAATTGTGCAACGACTTTTAACAATGGAAAAATTCAGAGCCAATAGCTTAGGTGAATGGATTTGCTGAGGAAGTTTTTGTGGGAAAATCTAGAAAGAGTTGTGTCATTTTGGATATTTAAACAAGATTCCTTTTCTGTATTATCTGTAAAGAAGCTAACCTTTTTTGATGTGTTTTTCTACATTTCAACACATGTATAAATTTGTGTCACCACAACTACCATAATCAATATACAGAAGAGTTGTCTCAACCTCAGCTGCCCTGGGCTTCATCTCTCTAACCACATCCTCTGCTGACGACTAATGCTGAGCCACCACTAATCTGCTTTCTGTTGGGAAGGGGTCTTGCTCAATAATTACATAAGTGAGATCATATGGCATGCAACATTTTGGTATTGGTTTCTTTTGGTGCCAAATGTTTTCAGGTATTCATTCAACTTGTTATTTTTACTAGGATTTTATTTCTTATTGGTTATGAATTATATACTGCTGCACCAATGAAACATAGTTCTTTTGTTCTTTCATTTGTTGAAAACCATTTGAATTGTTTTCCAGGTCTTGTGATAATGAACCATTTGGTATAAGCATTTATGAATGATTTTTGTATGACTGTTCCTTCTCAATTGAGTGGCTGTTCCATATGAGGCATGATGAGAAGCTGCTAAGTGGCTTCCCTTGTAGCTACTCCATTTCATATTCCCTGATCAATACATGAGCTGTAGTAGTTTTCATAGCTACTTGAAACTGATACTTTTTTAAAAAAATCTAAAATTCTACTTGATATATTGTATTTTAATTCTACTTCCCTATTTTACCTGTTAGACATTTTCAAATGTCCCTACTTACCATGCACCCCTTGCACTTTACAGAAATGTTTTACTTTCTTCCTTGATTGGACTTTCTGTATTTTTATTTTTTAGGTATATGGTTTCTGTTTTCTAGATATGTTATTTCATATCTATTAGTAACAAGTGTTTTGATGTTTCAATAATTTCACTATGTAGCTTTCAGTTTTCTCATTTTAATTATTTTTTACTTGTGATTACAACTACATCTCATATGACTGTTAGTCTTACTTTGTTTCTCTGTTTATCTTTCTGTTTTTAAAAAAAATTGTAGGGAAGTCTATGTATGTCAGCTGGGATTAAAACGCCTAAAAGATGGGAACTGACGGTTTCTAATACAACTTTTGTTAATTTTGATCTGAACTGTGTGGCCATCAGAACCTGTTCTGGCTGTTCCCAAGGACAGGGTAAGTTTGAGCAGACAGGACAGATGGTAAATAAGACCAGCATCAAGTGAGGCTGACAAACAGTGGCAGAGGCTTTGATGAGTCAATATTGCTTTCAGTTGCAAGATTATATCAACACAAACTGTTATGTTCCTCAAAGGAATCCAGGAGGCTAGGTGCTCCCTGCATGTCATCTGTTGTCCTTGTCCTCTACGTATTTCAGTGACCATGACATTCTGTCATGTCTCATCTGGATTCAGAGCTTCATGAAATGTAGACATCTCTCTTGTCTAGTGCCTGTTTTTAAACTGGTTCATGCAAGAGAGACTGTTGCCCAGTGAAGACTTTTGTTGGTGAGATGAATAAATGCCATTAGACGGGTGATGGGCACATGAACTTATACAGGTTTGCACACACCATTGCTGAAAGATCCAGAATGAGGGTACTTGAAGTTTTCAGCAACTTGGGCTGTGATGTGTACAAAGAAAGACAGGCAACTCTTGCTAACTTGTCAACTGCTACACAGAGTGGTGAGAAATAACTCCTTGGAGGACTCATAGGCCAAGGTGGAAAGAGGCAGAGAACAATTTAGTTGGTCTGATCGTTGTAAACAGCCAAACCAAGTAATTCAAGTAAATATGCTCTTGTGGTTTGAATCACCAATTTAGATAATTGTTTGTTTTTTTAATTAAATGAATAATCAGCCAGTCTCCACTTTACTATTTTACCCCTGTGTAGGCAGAGTCAAAGATCGGGAAATTTTAGTTTAAGACTGTGAGATCGTCATAGGTATATTAAAGTGCCCTTTATCTCATAGTTCTCCAATTCCCTGATGATTTCATATCATTCATCAGACACTGAATAAAGAAGCTCTCATCACTGGGTGATGTTGGGTAAATGAACTTTTCATTTATTTAAAAAATTGTCTGTTATTGGATCTACATAAGGATCTAGAAGGTTCAATCAGGAAAAACACATACTTGTTCAAAAATGAGTGTCTGAGAACCTAATTTCCAAAGGGTGATGAGAGTATAGTCTTGGTGAATTGAACACAGTCAGTGAAGGACCAGGGATGGGTGTGCCCTGGAGAAGTGACTCTCTTGGGCATCAAAGGTTGAAGAGAAAACTGCATCAGGAAAGCCTGATTTCCAAGTATTACAAATAACAGAGGCAGAATCTTAGAGATTTTATAGATCATGTTTTCCTTGGGAAATGAAACACATGTCCAACATAAGAAAATTATAGAGGTGAGGGTGTTAGTAAGTGTTATGCATTACAGAATATGGAATTAAGAAGTTTTTCACACATGGCTTGCTTCACTGCATGTAATCCACTGATAAGCAGAGCAAAAATGTTACATCTGTGAGCATCTTGTTCTCATTTGTTTTTTTTTTTCTGTAGTTTATAATGTGCACAACACTATAGTATGTAATGCATATCTTGAGCGTTGTGTGCTTTTATCCTTCAGTGATAAGGATGTGTGGTATAAACATGTCCCTAGGTAGATGGACTGGCAATGATTGTGACATGAGAGAATGAGCTGAGAAGTGTGGCTTGAACTAGTACTTAAAAAATGTGTTCTTAAGACCGTTTATACTAATGGCTAATAAAATATTGGTTGCGAAAGTGAGTATAATAAGAAAATTAAGGTCTAAACCTCACAGTTTGAGGTATCATTGATGAGGTTAGGCTATGGTAGAGGAATGGAAGCCAAAAGATTGAGATGTTAGAGTGTAACACCTTTGGTCTTCAGAGAACTAATGTTTGTTGTTTCTATTTCTTAATAGAAGAGCCCTTCCTCCATGGTATGATTGATATCTGAGGCTATTCTTTTGTTATCTAAAAAATTCTACTCATTGTAGGGAACTTAACAGCATCTCTTTCCCATTCTCCTCAGTTGTCAGTAGCGCCACCAATGTGACAGTTGTGACAGACAATAATAACTCAAAAGAATGTCAAATGTTTCTTGGAGAGTAAATTTACCTCTAGAACAAAATAACTGCCTTACAGAATAAACGGAATAGTGGCTGGCCATGCAGTTCTTGGCCTCCAACATCTCTAGCACATGTATCCTGATATAAGAGAATATCTGTGTTCTTTTTTTCTTTCATGGATGACTGAATGAATTATGAAATTATAGAACATTCCAGATAAAGTACTGATAGAAACCTTGTGAATTTAGTTCTGTAATAACAGATTCATGTCACTTATAACAGTCTGTCTTCTATTTTGTAGGTGGATTTACTGTGAAGACCAGAGAATTAAAGTTTGAAAACTCTCCAAATTTAGTAGCATTTCCATTTCCTCACGCAGCAGTTTTGGAAGACTTGGATGGGTCCCTGTCTGGGAAAAATGGAAGTCACATTCTTCCTTCTATGGAGACCCTCTCCTATACATGCTTGGTCAATGCAAGCTTCAGTCATATTGTCCCTGGGAGCATTTGTGGGGAAACTGTTGTCCTCCATCGTATGTCTATTCGTTTGTAAGTAGCATTAACTGTACTTCTTAGCTTGTCAATGGGCATACATATACCACTCAGTCAGGCCTAAGCATATTGAAGGGGAATTGTTTTCTGATGAGTTGAAGCTTTTATTTCTCTAAAAGTGAAGTGGGACTAATGTTGACCACTGTGAAACCACGAATCTCTGGCTGTTTTAGGCTGACTCAAATAGCAGCTGTCAGTACCTTGAGGTCAGATGTTATAGCCCGTGACCGCTTATTGACATTTTGAGTCAACAGCTTCTTCTTTAAAAGACTCATGACCAACAAAATATTTGAAATTTATTTAAATGGAAAGTACTATTTAAAAAATTCCAATAATGCCATCCTCATTTATATACATGCACTTTCCCCAAGCACTTTTTAAGTGTTCAGTGTGCTTCAGGGGAGCAATTGTGGATGCCTTCTCTTACGTGCCAGGTTGCTTTCGTCTAGTTCATTTTCCTTGTTAATTTCATGAACTATTGGATCCGTACAATACCTTTCCTATTAATATTGGAGCAAGGACTCCTTGGTTATGCTACTCAAACTACCATTAAGTCATCAGCTGGGCTGTTTATAATGCATAATAGGATTGCTTCTGGTCTCTTTAATTTCCAGGTAATGATAGTGGAGTGTCTGGGGCTCTCCCTTTTACCTATTTCAAATGCATTGTATATATTTAGCCACACTTATTTCCTCCTGTTAAGTGTCCCAACTCCATGAATATTAAGCCAAGTAATTCGGTCAGACCACACTGGCAACTTACTTGAACCGGTGTTCTCTAGAGGCGGGAGAGTCAAAGAGTCCAGGGTTGTACTAGCTGCAAACTGAGTGCATAGAAAAGTCCATTTTCTCATTTTCTTTTGGAAGACTTAAAATTAGAGTTATCTTTGAATAGTCCAAATATTTTCTCTCCCTGCTTTCCAAAGTATTCATTATTTTCTCTGCTGCAAAAGGGCCCCAAATCCCACCAAGTAGCATAAGAGTGATAGAGGGGGATGTTTGCATTTCAGATTTTCTTGTGCTGAGAATAAGTTGCTTTCTTTATTCTCAGGAATGTAGCCTGATATTAATTATCATTATTATCAGTATGCTTTCACAAAAACCCGACTTGAAGGCATGTTTGGGGAATCTATGAAAGTTAGTGTTTTTTATTCTTATATGATTTTTCCCCTACATGATAATAAGAGGTTTGTGTAGTGAACAGGGACATCATGTACATGTATGATTTTATCTATATGAATCTGTCAAACTTCTTCTAAAACGGCTTTCTTTCAGGTTTGCTTAGGTGCTCTTGTGTGTGTGTGTGTGTGTGTGTGTGTGTGTGTGTGTGTAGTGGTAGTAGGCATTGTGAAGAAGGCTCTGCTAATCATCAGGCTTGTCCCAGCATCTGTTCTGGGAGATCTCTGGGGCTGTGCAGCCCTTTGCTGCAGAGACAGGTCATGCTCATCCTCGTCTGTTATTTTCAAACACGCCCCAAAGACTCATGGTGGGGTGAAATAGTGACCTTGTTTGATCTTCATGCACCTCCTCCCCAGTTTTAAAATACAAAACTCCATGTCCTGGAAACCTCTTTAGTACACAACATCCAAGAAGGTTCATTGCTTTTCTACCCAGACTTCTATTTCAAAATTTCAAGTGAACTCACAGGTCTAGGCACAAATGCTCAGCTGTCACAAATCAGTCCTAGGGAAACCGCAGCATGCTCCTGGTGGTGTTATGGCCCTTGTGCCCTCTCTAGAAGAAGACTGTTAGATTATATGAGCTGTGAAGCCAGGCAGTTCAAAGCAGTCTATGGGCTCTCACGCAGCAGCAATGGGAAACGCTTCAGACCTTCAGTCCAGACCCCAGACCTCAGACCCCCTGAGAAAGCCTAAGTGATGCAAAGGAACCTTTGGGTGGTCCTGCTCCCTGGTCCTTCTAATTCTCCACTCCGGGCTTTCACCCCTCCCTCTTTGTGCTCAGTGGCTTGATCTTTGTCCCAGAGCATTAGAACCTCATTAGGAACATGTCAGTGCTAATGAGCAATTTGAATTCAGCTTAGATCCAAAGTTTGTTGTGTTTGGAGAAAGGATTAATTTGTTGTGCTATTTACCCTGGGGCAAGAGCTGCCTTCTTTACTTTCAACTGTTTCTCCCTTCTCTCAGCAAGCAGTCCCCAAAGGGCAGAGAGCAAGGCTCTATATAGCTGCACAAACAAAGCTCCACTCTCCTCCCGTTTGCTAACATCCAATACTTGGGGTGATTTCTTTTGTTAGACCCCATCTCTATCTCCTTTTCACTCACTATCCCTAAGTTCTTTGTTGGATGTGAGTGATCTTAGAATCCTGTCACTCACTGTCTTCCTTGCACTGACTGGAGCCCACGTCTGTGCTAGAACTTTCCCAGACTCAACACCAACAGTTTGCTTGACAGAAGCAAGTAAATATTTAAAATTGGTCATAATACTCAGTGTCCAAGTGAAGAACAAATGGCTGCCTTGTACAAGGCAGAGTCATATTTATTATTTGTTAAGTGACAACATGCTTCATCTTCATGGTGATTCCTACGTCGTTGGTATCGTGGGGAGGGTTTATTCCCAAGCTCCTGCTTCTAGCAACGTTTTTCTAGGAACCCAGGATGATGATCTCAATACAGGACCTTATCCTAGACTACTATGTCAGCAACACTTTCCCTAGTGATGAAAGGGCCCAGAGTTGTAGGAGTTTTCTTTTAAAAATTTTGAGTTACATTTCCATTTATTTATTGTGTGTGGAGGAGGATGTGTGTGCATGCCATAGCACACGTATGGAAGTCAGAGGAGAAGGGCCTACTGTGTAAGTTCCTGGAATTGGACTTAGATTTTCGCACTTGGTGGCTGGCATGTTTACCCACAGAGCCATCTTGACTCTTATATCCCTCTTTTATTCCAGTCTCCAGATTGACATGAATATTTTCCTCTGCTTTTATGTATAATTACATATATAATGCTGTCAATAGTGTGGGTTTGTGTGCGTGTGTGCATGTATGCTTTTAGATCTTTTTAATATTTTTATTGATTTAGACCTTCTTTTAAAGGTTTTCATTAAGAATTTTATACAGTTTGTTTTGATCATTTTCACCCCCTCCTCCCAACTTCCTCAAAACCTTTCTTGCTTTGGTTTATGCTGACCTTCTACTCCTGGGGATTGGAGCCTTTCTTAGTGTGTGATTGATATGTTAGATGCCACTCCATTGAAGAAATCTGGCTTTCCTTTGCATTAATCAATTGCCAATAGCTCCTAAGCTAGTGGTGGGACTGATGTCCTCTTCCTCTCTTCCTTGATGGCATCCTGTCTGGCTTGAACTTACACAGATATTGCTCATGCTATCATAGTCTCTGTGAGTTCATATGTACATCTGCCATTTTGTGTCTGGAAAACACTGTTTTCTTGAATTCATCCACTCCTTTCTCTGGCCGTTAAATGCAGTTGTCTTTAGAGAATCTGGGAACCTTCCTTTTCCTTCAAAAACATATGTGCTTCCCAAGTCATCTGAGTTATTTTCACATTCAGTGATAATTCCCCAATGTTTCTTCAAGTTCAACTGCTCTACCGCATTTCAATCTTCATTGGCTGATATGTTAACACATGTGGTTACTGAACATATGAAATATGGCTAGTATAAATTGTGATGTGCTCTAAGGATAAATTAGACATCATATTTCTAGGATGTTATGAAAAGATAATGTCACAAGCTTCAACAACTTGCTGTTGCTGGTGATGCTGAAGTGCGATTTAGGGCACATTGAGATACTCTATGATCAGATTTACTTTTAGTGCTCCTTTTTTACTTTTTAAATAAAAGTGTCTACTACAAAATTTCAAATGAGAAAGATCTGTGACTGGTATTTGTGGGTTGCTTTTACCTCTACTAATTCCGCTTGTGTATTTTACATCCATTTCAAACTCAGTGTGATTGCTTGGACTAATGTCTTTACTCCACAGAATTGCTCCTCCATGGGTGCCTAAGACCACACCAAGATAAATGCTGGTCTTAACCAAACACACAAGTTATCTGTTTTTTGTTTAACCTATTTTGTCCCATTAGTTGACTACCAGGTTCCTTCTCTCCCTTTTCCTCTCCCTCCCTCTCCCCTCTCTTACTTTCTCCTGTCCCTTCCTCATTCCTTCCTTCCTACCTTTTTATTTCTTATCCTCCTTCTATTTAAAAAGTGTTTTTAATATTAGCACAAAATAGAATGGATTATTACAATATTTCCATATATGTGTTTACTTATGTTTTGCTTTCATTCATTACCCCTACCTACCCTCAACTCTGACACCAGCCTACCCTCGTGTTGATCCCCTCCATCACTTCAAGTAGTCACCCTGTCTTAGTTAGTGTTCTATTGCTATGATAAGACACTGTCAGCAAGGCAATTTATAGAAGACAGAATTTACTTGTGACTTACAGTTTCAGAGGGTTAGAGTCTGTGGCCATCATGACAGGAAGCATGGCAGCAGGCAAGCAGGCATGGTGCCAGAGCAGTAGTTAAGAGCTTACACCTTGATCCATAAGCATGAGGAAGAGACATTTACTCAGGAAGGCCTTGGCTTTTGAAACCTCAAAGCCCATCCCCAGTGACATACCTCCTCGAGCAAGGCCATAGCTCGTAATCCTTAACAAATCATTCCATCAGTTGTGGAACAAGCATTAAAATACACACTCCTTTGAGGTATCATTATCAAACCACCACCTACCCCCTTAGTTTTCAGGTCACAACTATTTCTTTCTTTCTTTCTTTCTTTCTTTCTTTCTTTCTTTCTTTCTTTCTTTCTTTCTTTCTTTCTAATTTATTAAAGATTTCTGTCTCTTCCCCGCCACCGCCTCCCATTTCCCTCCCCCTCCCCCAATCAAGTCCCCCTCCCTCATTGGCCCAAAGAGCAATCAGGGTTCCCTGCCCTGGGGGAAGTCCAAGGACCACCCACCTCCAGCCAGATCTAGTAAGGGGAGCATCCAAACTGCCTAGGCTCCCACAAAG